GGGAAAGTGTGCTGTTAGGGACCTCTCTAAAGTACTCAAGAGCAACGGTGTCTCTCTGGAGACTAAGGTGCACCTGATACAGGCCATGGTTTTTGCAATCACTTGTTATGCATCAGAGAGTTGGACAGTGACTAGGGAGGATAGAAGGAGAATTGACGCCTTTGAGCTGTGGTGCTGGAGAACATACCATGGACTGCCAAGAAAACAAACAGATTCATTGTAGAGAGGATTAAACCAGGCTGCTCCTTGGAGGCAAGGATTCTGGGGCTTCGTCTGACATACTTTGGACATGTTGCAAGGAGGGACAGGTCCTTGGAGAGGGACATCATGCTTGGGAGGGTGGAAGGACAGCACAAGAGGGGAAGACCCTCTATGAGATGGATTGATTCGGTGACTGGGGTAATCGGGATGGGTGTGTCAGAGGCAGTGCAATTGGCACAGGATAGAGCAGGGTTTAGGGCTGTTGTACATAGGGTCGCTATGAGTCGCAAACGGCTCGACGGCACATAACAACAACAACAAACTCTCCCTGGGTCCTGCAGTCCTCAATATGGATTGAAGCTCAACATCAAGAAAACAAAGATTCTTATTGCTGGCCCAATGGACAGGATCATTATAGATGGAGAAATGATTGAGTTTGTTGACAATTTCAGCTTGCTTGGTTGCACAATCAACACTTTTGGCACCAGCAGTCAGGAAATCAAAAGACAAATTGCCTTAGGAAAATGTGCTGTCAGGGACCTCTTTAGAGTGCTGAAGAGACTTAAAGCCAGTCTAAAGACTAGAGTGTGCTTGATTGAAGCCGTGGTCTTTGCAATTATTTGCTACACCTCAGAGAGCTGGACGATGAATCAGGCTGAAGTGCTGGAGAACAATATTAAACATACCATGGATTGCCAAGAGAACAAACGAGTTTGTCCTGGAGAGGGTGAAAGGAAGTTGCTCCTTGGAGGCAAGGATTTTTAAGCTCTGTCCCACATAATTAGGACATATTTCCAGGAGGACTCAGTCCTTGGAGAAGGACATCATCCTGGCAAGGATGGACGGACAGTACAAGAAAGAAAAAGCCTGAACGAGATGGATTGACACAGGAACTAGGGTTATGGGGGAAGGTGATTCAGAGACAGTGAGATTGGTTCAGGACAGGGCAGGATTCAGAACTATTTTTCATAAGGTTTCTATGGGTTGTGGTCAACTCAACAATACATAATTATAACAAACACCCACATTGTATTCTCCATTCCCAAAGGAAAGCTCTTCAACCAAAGTGAACAGGTAAAGAGAGTTTTAAAGAAACTATTCACATTGTGATATTCAATTATAAATGAAAAACTATATACTACTATATATTGTACCAAGATGGGTTGACACAATGGCTATAGCAGTGGACTTGAATGTGGCAGAGATGGTAGGTAGAGGTGCTCTGTGTCTGGATAGGAATTCATAGAGGCATAGAGAATTCATAGAGGAAATGCTCATGAGTGAAAACAAAGCTGATAGAAGTGTCAGGGCACATAGATAGTAAGAAGAATACTTTGGTTGCAAAAGAGCAACACAGTCTGAAAACATCTAGAAACTCAAAACAGCTCCTGAAGCTAGGAATATATTTGAAACTTCACATTCGATCTTTAAAATTCAGTTGGATATATAATTCTATTGAATTATTTCATCTTTCCTTATTTCCATATAAAATATTTTACTCTAAACTCTTGGAGTAAAGTTAGCATTTAGTATGGGACACTGTGTTCAGCCTATGTCATTAGTACTCTGTACTAAATAACTAGTTGGATATGCTTAGTTTGAAGATCAAGGGTGAGAGAATAGCAAGGAATAATTTCTATAAATCAAATAAGTTGTTGGAACCAGATAATTATTTAATTTTGAAGAAACAAGCCTGAGCAATTGTATTTTGTAATGTTGGAAATGAAATAGTAATACTTTCTATAGGGCAACGATCTTATTATCTTGATCATACTGTTTCGTCCAACAAGAGAGTGTCTTGCTCTTCCAAATCTTTTTTTAACTTTCCTTTTCATTCATTGTTACACTTTTCTCCCTGCCCCCTACCCCCAGTTTGCTCTTCTCTTTGAAAAGTAAAAGAAAAATTCTTTCATTGTTATACAGTCCCTCCCCTCAAGTCCACTCCACTAGGCAGCCTTCACACTAGACTCCTGTCATGACCATAATATGACACAGTTTAAATCTTACTTTTCCCACACAAGTGTCTGTGATTTTGAAGCTCAGAAATTTATAACTGATTCATACTTCTTTGGTTCATAATTGCTTTTTACTTTGTAGTTCAGTAATTTCATATGCATGGCTCTATCCCCTGCAGCGCTAGGAACAAAGACTTCGACATACAAAGCAAGCTTCTTGTACAATGACTCGGTGATCAGAACTCCAGGGAGAAATGACTGATCTGGTGTTGAATTAGGATGATGTTCAATAGGAAGGTAGACAGGTGTTAGTGGCGTGGATTCGGAGTGTTGCCATTGTTCGACCACCGAGCCAGAAAGCTTGTGCAGCTGTTTGAAATTAAGGAGCAGTGAGAGAGCTATAGGAAGTCCTAGTCGTAAGGTGATGAAAATGCTTGACTGCTGTCCTCAAGGTCAGTTGTTCAAATCCAACTCCCCTTTATGGGGGAAATCCCTGTCAGTCTGCTTTCATAAAGATGCACAACCTCAAACCCCCTCCTCAGGGCAGTTCTACTTTGTCCAATAGGGTTGTCGTGAGTCAGTATCTACATGAGAGCAGTTGATTTGTTTGGGATTTTTTTTTCCTGGGGCTGAAAGATGCAGATTGTGAGGAATGTGCTACAAACTACATGAGGGGTATTTGATTTGGTTGTAACAGAGAAAGACACCTAGGAAGGTAGAACATCATGCTTGGGAGGGTGGAGGAACAGCGTAGGAGAGGAAGGCCCGCTATGAGGTGGATTGATTCAGTGACTGGGATAATTGGGATGGGAGTGTCAGAGACAGTGCGATTGGCACAGGACAGAGCAGAGTTTAGGGCTGTTGTACATAGAGTCGCTATGAGTCGCAAGCGACTCGACGGCACATAACAACAACAACAACAACATACTAATTTATTTACAAAACTCAAATGCATTGTTTTCAAAAATAGATTTTCAATTTCCCTCACCCCACTACCCATCAAATTGTATAACCCCATGATTAACACCTCTCTCCCCGACACATCCTCATCCCTTTTTTCCCAGCTTCTCGCACCCCTCCTGGATCCTTATACTCATTCTACAATAATGGTTTCATACAATATTTATCCTTGTGGGACTGAGTTAGTTCACTCAGCATAATGCTCTCCAGTCTGTCCCAAGTTAGGTAATAATTTACAAAGTTACTGCTCCTGCATGCTGCATAGTATTCCATTGTGTGAATGCACCATAATTTCTTAATGTATTCATTTGTGGTTGGGCATTTGAGCTGTTTCCATGTTCTTGCAATGGTGAATAATGCTGTTATGAAGGTTGGTGTACAAATCTCAGTTTGTGTCTCAGTTCTCATATTCTCAGGGTATATTCCAAGTAGTGGAATAGCTGGGTGATAAGAAACTTCTATGTTCAACTTTTTGAGGAAGCATCAAACTGCCTTCCAGAATGGTTGCACCATTTTACAATCCCACTAACAACGTATAAGCATTCCTTTCTCGCCACATCCTCTCCAAGAATTCAGAAAAGAGGTCTGACGCAGAGGGAAGATAACAAGGTTGGTTACATGCTAAGAGTAGTTGCTAATAAATGCATTATATGATAATATAAACTAACAAGTGAAATACTCCAATGTTGGGTGATGTTGTGAATGAAAAGAAATTTATAGTCATTTTCCTCAAGTGAAGTTGGAACTCATGACTATATGTGATATCTCTAAGTTTGGGGGAGCTCTGGTGGCCTAGTAGCAAGAAGCTGCAACTACAATCCCAGAGGTGCACGGTTCGAATCCACCAGATGCTCTGCCGGAGGGGGGGGAGGAAAAAAAGAAGAAGAAATAGTAAGAGGAAACATCCGTGTTTAAAAAATGTGAAGAAAATAATGATTAGCAAAGATAGAGAACAGGAAATAAGAAATCAAGGAAGAGAACCAATGGGTTTTGGAAATAGAAAAAGAGTTTTAAGGAAGAGAAGTCAATCCCATCAGCAGCTGAGAAGTAACATTGGTAAAGACCTACAGAGATATAAGAATAGAACCAGCATTGCGAAAAGTGAGGATGAGATGAAGGTGGACATACCAGGATGTGGTTACCCATTGCTCTTTGAGATTTGTATAGAAAGAAGGACATTTTTAGCACAGGCTGGTAGCCAGAACTCAAATCATAATGAGAAAATGCTGTCCCAAGCATTTCATTCTATTCCCATCCTGCCTTGTTACCAAATTCTCTCATCAAGATACGAGCCCTTTAGAAACCATTTGTGTTTATGTGTTCTGCAAATATATCTCCTGTGTTCTACTCCTTTTGATCATCGTGTTCCAAGTGGGTTTCAATAAATAGTGGATCTGCAAGGTGGTGTCTGAGAAAAGATTTCACCATCAAGGAAGACTAGGAAACACTAGTGGAGACAATATATGTTAAATGCCTGTGACGTCCTGAAGAAAACAAACCTTATTAACTTTGTTTAAGCTCTCAAACACTATTTGTTCATAGAACTACTTATTTTAAAATGTAAAATTCTTAATGGTCCCGTGATATGTGTCTAGGGAAACTTTGATTTACAGACTTCACTAATTAATTCTAAATGGTAGTTTGATGCTAATGGTTTTGAAAGAGATTAACCTGCTGATGGGAAGTGTCCATAACTTACCATAGAAGTAAATGAGAAAATGCAAAATAAGTGTGGGCCTAACAGACATTATGAAAGATGGATGAGGGTAAATTTTTTGGTCCTCTCAAATCACACCACTCATTGATGGTGGCTACACAATGTATTTATCACTCTTGAAACAATAACTAAGTCCTGTAACTTTTTAAATTTTTTTTTTTAACTAGGGCTATTACTGTGTTTCGATCCCAGAACTTCAATCAATTTTCTGTCCAGCCAGAAGAATGGGAAGGAGGGGTGCAACATCATGATGATATTTTATGTGCTGCATTTTCACCTCCGCAAACTCTGGCTACAGGTCAATTGAACATTCACTTGATTATCATTGTTGAAAATAGAGATTCACTCAAAAACAACCAAACCAACAGCTTTCACTTTTGAGAGAGAGAGAGAGAGAGAGAGAATATGAATGCATAGATTTCTTCTAGAAACTGGACTCACGCTTAAAAATACTTACTCTTGGTCGTTATGTCTATGGGGAGACATTAGTAATTATGACCATCAGCTCTAGAATCTGGTGTCTGATCCTGTTTTTAGAATTTTCTTCTACATTATGTTGGGCATGTCAATTTATTCTAAATAATTATACCCTCTGGCTAATGATTATATAGGTAGATGTTGGTTTACCATGAAGCTGAGGAAGAGAATTTGTGTAAAATCTTCAGAGGCACATGGAGCTCATTGGTAATAAATTAGCTTTTATTTTTATTGTCCTTTATTCAGAAGCAGCATCATAATGTTGGATACTAATTACACTTCTGTGACACTGAACGTGTTTTGTGTAGAGAATATAAGAATTCTTTGGCATAGGTTAAGCTAGGTAATGGTGGTTAGTGTGGAATTCTGGTGGTGCAGTGGCTAACTGCTAGGCTGAACACCAAAAGAGCCATTGCTAAAACCCTTCATTTGTTTTGCAGGAGAAAGAGATATTGATGAATTTAATAAATACAACCAATATTGGAGGCGCTGTGGGGCAGTTCTGCCCTAGAGTGTCACTGTGAGTTGACATTGGATGAACAGCAATGGATTTGGACTTGGTTTAGTGTTGTAGAGACTTGACCTACAAAATTGCCTGCAAATACATTCTCTTAAAGGGGTCTGTTATTGTTGATTGCTGTCGAGTCGAGAACGACTCATAGCAACCCTAAGAATGAAAGGCCTGAAGTCTTTCTATAACTATCGTCATTTATCAAAGTTCATAGAGTTTCCAGAGGCATGTTGTTTAGGAAGTGGATGCCACTCCTGCTTACATAAAAGGGTCTACAGACATACATTTATATGACATATTAAAATGGATAAGAAATCATTTGATCATTTCCCGTCATGTGTTGTTGTGTACCACAGAGTCAGAACCAACTCACAGCCGACCCATTAGTGGGTTTGCAGAGGCAGTTAATCACATGGAAGGAGATTGACCATCCTTCTTCAGTGGAGCTGCTGGTGGCCTTGAACCATGTACCTTTGGGATTGAAGTACACCTTCTTGCCACTAGGCCCTCAGAGCTCCCTTTCCAGACATAGAAAGCAACTTATGAAGATAGATTATACCATGAAATTACCAAATCCATAGTCTGCTAGCCTAATTATTTTATAGACTAAAAAAAATTATCATCAATTTAGAGTATGAAAGCTAATAGAAAGAGAGCCAGGATTATAAAAGAATAATATTATCAAATATAAATTTATATAAGTTAGATTCAGCCTAGAGAGGGTTAAACCAGGCTGCTCCTTGGAGGCAAGGATTCTGGGGCTTCGTCTGACATACTTTGGACATGTTGTGAGGAGAGACAGGTCTTTAGAGAGGGACATCATGCTGGGTAGAGTAGAGGGACAGCGCAGGAGGGGAAGACCCTCTATGAGATGGATTGATTCAGTGACTGGGGTACTCGGGATGGGTGTGTCAGAGGCGATGAGATTGGCACAGGATAGAGCAGGGTTTAGGGCTGTTGTACACAGGGTCGCTATTATGAGTCGCAAACAACTCCATGGCACATAACAACAACATCTACATTTAAAATGCCACTGATTTCAGGACTTGATTACCTTCTGATAGGGTCTACCCTGCAGTTGAGTTAGCTCTTATGCCTTTATAGATACTGGAAGACCACCCCTGCAGATAATGAAATGTGATAAAAACAGGGAATGATAAGGTTGCTGTGGTGCTGTTATTGTGGTTGTGTCATAAAATGTTATCAGAGTACGTGGCTGAAGAACTTGTTGCATCTTAGCCATCCTTCCAATGGGATAGTAAATCAGTAATTAGTGAATAGCATTACATTTCATCCATCTTAACGACATCAGTGATAGGGGAGAGTGTTTCGGTAGGCACCTTGGAAGTATATGTTTTGGAAATTCTAGAAGAAGATAGACCACCTTGAACATATGAAACTAATCTTCTTGGCCAATCTATAGTTGTTGTTGTTGTTGTTCATCGAGTCACCCAGGACTCATAGCGACCCTATGTACAACAGCCCTTAACCCTGCTCTGTCCCTTGCCCTATCCTTACTGTCTTCAACACACCTATCCCCGTTACTCCAGTCACTGAATCAATCCACCTCATAGAGGGTCTTCACCTCCTGTGCTCTCCCTCCACCCTCCCAAGCATGATGTCTCTCTCCAAGGACCGGTCCCTCCTTACAACATGTCTAAAGTATGTCAGACAAAGCCTTAGAATCCTTGCCTCCAAGGAGCAGCCTGGCATCACCCTCTCCAGGATGAATTTGTTCTCCTAGCAGTCCATGGTATATTCAATACTCTTCTCCAGCACCACAGCTCAAAGGCATCAACTCTCCTTCTGTCCTCCCTAGTTATTGCCCAGCTCTCTGATGTATACCAAGTAATTGTAAAGACCATGGCCTATATCAGGCTCACCTTAGTCTCCAGAAAATTGTTGCTATTTAGTACTTTGGAGAGGTCTCTGACAGCAGACTTTCCTAGTGCAATTAGTCTTTTAATTTCCTGGCTGCTGGTACCAAGAGCGTTGATTGTAGTTCCAAGCAAACTGAAGCTGTCAACAATCTCAATCTGTAGTTACACGGGTTTATTTTTCCAGTCCAATCTAGAGGGCTACAAAGTTTAGTATGCATTTCTCATCCCCTTCTCCAGATCACAAGAAAGGTACCGTCTATACATTACACCTACATGAATCTTCAATTGATATTGACAATCTCATTAAGGAGTTATCTGTCTGAGCCACTGCCAGCAGCAGCCTGGACATGAGTTGTTTCTCCCAACTACATGCTTGGACAGACTTAGTCTCCCTCTTTCTGTCTTTCTCTGTTTACCTGAGAAAAGCAATAGGGAAGGACCTCTGAAGGGAAAATGTCAGTGTTGGAGAAAACAATATTCACTAAAGAATATGAGGTATGAGGTAAGATGAGAACACACACACACACACACTTTCTCTCTCTCATTCACATACAGACAAAAAGAGATTTGAGGAAAATAATTTGGTTTGATCTCATTTGACTGCCTTACCCTCCCTCAATCTTGAAAAAGTAATGATAATCATAATAATTATTAGCATCATGTTGGTACTTCTAATATGTTAGGCACTATTCAGAGTAACTTTCCATCCTCACAGCAACCCTGTGAGATAAATACAATTATTAAACTCAGTTTTACAGATAAAGAAATTGAGCCATCAGGGAGAGTTCAATAACTCGCCAAGGTTACACAGCTTGTCGATGACAGAATTAGGACTCAAGCTAAAAGTTGCTTAACTCCAAAGCCCTTGCTCTGAACGCCTTAAAATAAAAAAATGATTGAGTAGTTATTTCTGCCATACCAACTGTGTAGGTATGCTGTGGGATCAGATGAGATCATGGACATGAAAGCCGTTTTAAGCTGTGGAGTTTGGCAAAAATATTAGCTGTCATTACTCATTCATGCCTCCAAAACGATAGAGAGATACTAACAGCCTCTAATTGCTTTGCTTGTTTTTTGTCCCCCCCTTTAATCTTCTGGCAATTTCTCTTCTCCATGCTGGTTCATGTAGGAAGCTATGATGGAGAAATTGTTCTATGGAACAGTAGCACAGAAAATGCTCACCACGTCCTTCATCCAGATTACCAGAGACTTCTAAAATCAAAAGTGGGTGAGTACAAGCTTGAAATGAAAATAATGTGCCTGACTCGGACCACAGTAGACCTGGCTGTTTATTCATATACCTCATGCAACCTGCTTCTAAATGATAGATGATTGGCTGTGAGCACACGGGATTAGTGGCATCGTCTTGTCAGAGCGACTAAAAACGGCCTTGAGCTTGACTTGGTTTAACAACTTCTCCACAGTGTGCCATTCCTTCTCTTTAGATCCCATCAGCATTTCTGAATTCCTGACAGCAGGATGCAGATCTTACATTTTTATCCAGTTCTGGGGTTTTTTGCCAATAAACCTCTCCAAATTGCCTTTGACTGAACCTTGGGTACTCCAGTGGTAGGAAAACAGGGAAATAGACTCACTTAACAGGCTGCTCAGGCCCAATCTACAGCTTGTATTAAATATTATGCCACCTGGAAATCTTAAATTATTCCTTGCCTTAGAAACCTGTGTGGAGCATTAGATGGAAGTACATTGTATTTTATGGGAATTTAGCAGATAGAGCACATGAATATTTTATACTTAAGCAAAATGTCTTGACAGTTGCTTTTCACATTTTGTTTTCCTTTCAAATAGTTTTTCCTTACACTCATTTATTTGGCTAATGAATATGTCCTTCCTTATGGCCTAGAGAGATTATGTTGTCTCAATTTCAAAAATTCAGAGGCTGAATTGAACATTAAGAAAGGTCTAATCCTCAAATACCGTTTTTTCTAGAAAGCAATGTTAAGAGTAAGAAAACCAGTTTCAGAGATTTAGAAATTATTTGGCTGCAGACACAAAGTATCCAACTTTGGGAAATAAATGGGGAACCATGACGACTCATCTACACCTTGTATATGTGGGTCACAGGGGGTCATTGATCAGTCTGTAGAGATTAACAACAGATCTTTCACAAAAAGAGTGGAATACTGCCTCTTCCACTAGTTTCAGGGGAGCACTAGCTTCCTTTTAAAGAACACCTAATTGCAGCAAGTATTAAATAGGCAGAAAAGGAGATAAAAAGGAAAAGTAGATAATATTAAATTTCTTTCTTTCTCCTTCCTTCCTTCCTTCCTTCCTTCCTTTTCTCTCTCTCTCCCCCTTTCTCCCTCTCTGTTTTTCTTTCTTTCTACTGTCAAGTCAGATCTGACTGGTACAGGAGGACACTGTCCCTCCTTCTCCAGCAGAGCATCTGGTGGATTCAAACCATGCACCTCTGGGATTGCAGTGCAGCTTCTTGAATAATATTAAATTTCTAAAATGTGCAAAAAATACTGCTATATATTTCTTGCTTTGGAATTTTTTAAAGTATTCATTCGTTCATAACTTTTTACTGTAATTATGGAAATGCTATTCGTAGATTGTCCCTAGTGGGCATTACTGATGTCTGCGGGTGATGCCATCATGTAATGGAAGTACAGTTAGTGATATCCTCTCCAGGGTAATTTGCTAACAAATAGTTTTGCTAATAAATGATTCTTTTAAAAATATTCAGTCATTATGCTTCCTGTTCATTAAAATATTTGTAGGATTAATATGAGTGACTAATAAACCAAAAACGCCATGATATTAGAATGGCATTTGTCTTGAGCATGTCAGGATTTCTAAGATGTTAACAGTGACTTCAAAATAAAGCTCTTATTAATTTATATCAAGGGGAAACGTGTGACTGGAATATGCAAAAGGGAAATGAAATCAAACAGCCCTTCAGGTTGAGTCTGAAAAAGCAGATAAAGTATGAGAGACTTGACGGGCCTTGATGATGGGAAATCTATCATGTCACTTGGAGACAGGACACTGATAGAGGCAAACTTAGACTTGTTGCTTTTAATAGGCAGTAGTTTCAAAAGCATTGTTTCTCTTCAGGAAAGCCCTCGGCTTTGTCTTTCACGTGGACAGAGTCTCATGAGCCTCCCAGGGCTCGAAGGAGAAGCTCCAGCACCACAGACCAGGCTGCCATGGGAAACTGTTCCTCTGAGATTGACACTGAGGGCAATAACGCTGTAAAGAGGCTTTTCTTCCTTGAAGCACGAAAAAACACAGCTGTGACAGGTAAAACAGAGTCATATTTTGTTATACACTGTTTTGATATACTGTAAAATCTTGGAAAAAGGAGCAATAAAGAAAATTGAAGGTACTCTTACTTAGTCCTTGTAGTGTTAGACACCTGTACCTAACAGTACTGGGTCCTGGGAGACCAAGGGTCAAAGGTTGAGGCTGAGAAAGGGGAACAAGATAAGGAGTCAGAGTAAGGTCTCCTTAGAAGTTTGAATAGATTTAACAACAACAAGAAAATCCCAAAACAAATAGAAATTCCAAACCCCTTACACTTGGGTTTGTTCAGACTCATAGACCTACGCTTTTGGAGTAAATGATTGCAGTAAATCTTTAGGGAAGTAGATTGCAATATCTTCTTCCCTGGAGAAGTGGATGGATTCAGAGTTTCTCACTTTCATTTTGATGCTAAATGCTTAACTACTCGGCCAGAAATCTGGAAACTGTTCACAGTGACATCTGTGATGTCCCCTTCTTGGAATAAAGAGGCTTCAGTAGAGCAGTTGACACAGTAAGAAATACAGGACACAGGTTTGAGATTGATGGCACCTGGTATTAAATGAGCTGGTGGAAAAGCATAACTTGAGATCATTGCTGATCCCGGGGCAAGAATTCACTACTGTTTGTGTGTATGTTCCTCAGACAGTCAAGCTCATGGTTAGGTCCATTGTGGATACATATACTAACATTGAGGTTGCGCTGTGATTTACTATAATCATTTCATAGAAAAAGTAAGCAGTTGCTTAATTTATTCTCTGTTCTCAGTGACACTCTTAGCTTTGTGCTGATTCAAACTGCATCTTGCCAAAAGAAAAATCTGATTCAGAGAATAATACCTAGTCTTTAATCTTTCACCTAAAATAATTGTGTTAGTCGTGTCCTTTAAAAAAAAAACAACAAAAAACATTTGGGGTCCAGTCATGTATGTTATAATCCTGAAAAATACTAATGTACTTAAATTGTGTCTTTGTAACATCACTCTCAGTTTTCTGTTATGTGGAAACCATGTATTATTTCCACATAAATTTTTTTCAACATTGTTGATGTTGTTACAGGGTATCATTGAGTCAGTCCAGATTCTGAGGCTATATAAATACACGAAATGAACAAACATCCTGTCCCAGCCTTATGTGGTATTGTACTTGAACCCTTGGTAGCGACTATTATCAATTCCTGTCCTTGAAGATCTTCTTTTGATTTTGCCATCAATTCTTCTTTGATCCTCCTTCTTCACTGTGCTGCTTTCACATACCTTTAAGGAGACTGCAAATATCAACCAGTGTCAGGAGCACCTTAGACCTCAAAGTAACGTCCCTGCTTTTTTGCACTTTACAGAGGTCCTTAACAGCAGATTTTCCAACAAAATATGCTATTTGAGGTATTGTCCCCCCCGCCCCCGTTGCCTCCATGAGTGTTGGTTGTGGAGTCAAGTAACATGAAAGCCTTTGTTGTTGTTGTTGATTGCCGTCGAGTCGAGCATAACTCATAACAACTCTATGAACAAATGACCTAATGCTTTTCCATAACTGTTGTCATTTCACCAAGTTCATAGAGTTTCCAGAGGCAAGTGGTTTAGGAAGTGAATGCCACTCCTGCTTCCAAACCTGTTTTACAACTGGGAGCTCCACAAAACACTGTCCACTTGGGGAAGCCATTCTGGTATTTGATACCCCAATGTCACAAGGTTCAGCATCACAGCAACCCAGGTTACTTCATGCTGCACATTGACAAAGAGTGATGTGCAAAGTGCGAGTTTTCCTCCAGATATAACAGCATTAGTTTTACTTAGCAGTGGCTAAGTGGCATCAAGTTGAATATGACTGAAAGTTTTGCACAAAAGACCTGAACACTCTTCTCTGACTAACATAATTTCTGTACAGAACTCCGTTATAGAACTATTATCATTTCTGTACATTTATAGAGTTTAGAGAGTTTGTAGAGTTTCCAGAGGCATCTAGATTAGGAAGTGGATGCCACTCCTGCTTCCCAACATGAATCAGTCCGGAAGCTCATCCAAACATTGTCCACAGTGGGGAACCATTATTGTACTTGATAAGATTACGGAACAGTGTGCAGCATCACAGCAACTCCAAGTTGTTCAGTTCAGCAAATAGACAAAATATAGCTATGTCATTCAAGGAATATTCATTCAAAAATTAATACATTTTGGCCTGAGGGCCTCTCCCTCCTCCTGCGAGGTTTTAATCCAACGTCTTTGAGCAGACTTAAATCCTACGCAAAGGCTGAAAGACACCTGCTCTTGGTGGGGCGGGGGGCGGGGGAAGAGCAGTACTACACATCAAACATGACCCCCAAAAAACACGACCCCAAAAACTTCCCTTTACTTGCCTATCAGGACTACCATCCACAAGCAGCAAAAAGCCACACTCCCAGAGTTCCAATTGTAAGGATTTCCACACTAAATATTATTATTTATATTATTATTCTTTTCAAGGTTCATCAAATATTTCCAATCTTTGTTTTCTCAAAACCTGGTTGTTACTTGCATATAGCAAGTTGTTAACAACATTTCCTCAAATCATTGTGTCACTGTCTTCTTCAGACAGCCTGTTTTCCTGGATTATTTGTTCAGTATGCAAATTAAAGGAAAGATGGTGAAAGTATATTTGCTGAATTAAAACATGCAGTAATCTCTCATTATTTTCAAACAAGTGTTTCTCAGTCAAGAACCAATAAATGGATATACTACAATGGAATTTTAGAAGCATTGTGAGATATTTAGACATGGAAATAGTTAGATTTTAAAACTTTCTGTTTTCGGAAACTCACTTATTCTTACAATAAAAAACGATTATCCTAAAATTGCTCTCATTTTCTCTGCACTAATTCTCCTTAATGCTATCAGTATTCCCAAATTGTTTCCACTGAAGCGGCTATTGCCATTTTTTACTATCTTAAATAGATATGACTCTTAATCAGCAGTACATTTGTGAAGCAAATTGGAAGTCATCCACAGATTTATCAAATAATAATAGGAACTTGGCCACTGAAGAATAATTTAGGTAAAATGTTCTACAAAGCATATGAAATTGAGAATGAAAATGTTAGTTCTAGAACTAGGAATAACAACAACAACAACAACTAAAAAGGTCTTAGAGGGCTTACAGTGTATTCTTGATTTAACAAAAAAAAATAATAGGGTGCCTGCAAATTAAACTTCAAGCAAGCTAATATATAGAAAATGCAACTCAATAGCCAGGCTACTCTAACTACATATACATTTAAATCTATGCAAGATATATTTTACTTCTTTGATGTATGTGTTCAGTAGGTTATAGAAGAATGCATACTTTGTGTTACTGAGATATTAGAAAAATGTTAAAATTAATGTTTTAATTTCATGGAGTTTATTTTTTTTAAAAAAAAACATTCCATCTAACTTTTCTCTAAAAAAAACCCAAAAAACAAACAAACCCCCAAAATCCCCCATATAATGTCTGAATGATGAGTGAAGAAAATAAATCTAAATTCAGGGTAATGTTTTACGTTTCCTGTGACACTTAATGCCCACCACAACCCAGTGAGGCTATCAGAAGATTACCTCTATTTCGTGTGTGCGAATATATTGATGACTGATTTGAGAATGGATTCTGGATATGCCCACATCTTCAATGCATAGTGCTTTTTCAGAGCAAGATACCAAAGATGCTTTTGTTACAGTTTTCTAATTAGATTTATCATTTGTTTGTTAGAAGGAGCAAACCTTGTGTCGTGTGGAGGACGTGGGTATGTGAGATTCTGGGATACAGTCAAGAAGCAACTTCTAGCTGAATTTTTGGCTCACAGTGGAGTTGGATCAATTATTATGTCTACTGATAAACTGAATCGATACCTTGTCACAGGGGATCAAGATGGCTGGTTGAAAATCTGGAATATAGAGGTAAATAGAAATATTTTGCACATAATTTTTATTATTGGTATTATCTTTTATTGTAGATGAATATGAAGTAGGCGGGTAGATCTGCTTTATGATTGAATAGTTGCTCAGTTTGGACGTTTTAAAGAATGCATTTAGATGAAATGACCAGAGCCATTACTAATTTATGGAAAAAAACAGTCTGATTTGTCTTGTTATTTAAAATAGTCTCTTAACATATTGTTGTTGTTGTTAGATGCCATTGAGTTGAGTATAACTCATAGAAACACAATGAACAAAATATGCAGTTATCTTATCAATCCACCTGGTCAAGCACCTTTCTCTCCTTCACCAACCTTCCACCTTTTTATGATCATGTCCCTCTCAATGAATAGCCCCTTCTAGCAACATGCCCAGAGTACGTGAGGTGAAGCCTCATTATTCTTGCCTCCAAAGAGCACTCCGGCTGCACCCTCTCCAAGATGTAACTGTTTGTTTGCTGTCCATGGGATGTTCAGTGCTCTTCTCCAACACCACAGCTCAAAGGCATCAATTCTTCTGCTGTCATCCTTATTCACTGCCCAGCTCTCAGACGTACAGCAAGTGATTAGAAAGACCATGGTCTGTAACAGATGCACCTTAGTTCTCTAACTAACATCATTACTCCTCCATAATTTGAAGAGGTCCCTAACTGCAGATTTCCCCAAGTTAATCATCCAATGTAGGGATGCAATATTGTCAGCAGACTACAATAGAATTGACTGCACATATATAAGAGATATCTTGAAATAAGACTGTAAACGATCTTGATAGATTTCTGGGTATTTTTTGCACCTCACAGTATAGTTATCCTACATTTGAAATTTCTGTCTCACTGATTAAAAAAAAAAAATCCAACAAAAATCCACTCATACTCATCATTATTGAGTCAAAACTGACTTACACATGACCTTCGAGGAGATTTTCTGGGGAGATAGCTTATTTTTTCCCCCTCAGATTTGAACAACAAAGAGAAGTCACCTTTGGGTTAACAACACAACTTCCTATGGAGTAGGTCCCCAGAGCTCCCGGTGTCACTGAAAAATCGACTCAATTTCCTAATAATACTAAACTATATAGTATGTGACTGGTTGTATACAGTTATAGAAGTTCTGGTGACTCAGTAGTTTAGCTCTTAGCGATAAGACAAAAGGTCTCGTGGATGGAATACATCAGCAACTACAAGGGAGAAAGATGTGATTTGTTTCCAGAAACATAACCAAAACCCAATACCCGCAGCCACAGAGTTTAGTCCAACTTAGTGGTCCTCCCTGGTTTTTCTGAGGTTATAGATCTTCATGGTTGGAGACTGCCCATCTTTCTCCCACTGAATTCCTAACAGATTCAAACCATCAGCCTTTCTGTAGCATCTTGACACGTTACACACTATGACGCTGGAGCGCCTTCTCATAAAGGTTACAGCCTTGGAAACCAAACGGGATTTTTTTCCCTATCATATGGGTTGCTATGATACAGAAATCTACTTGACGTCATTATTTCTTTTTTCTTTTAAATATATGGTTAAGTCATCTCAATCAAATAATTTATTTACCCTCTCCTACATTTGTGTTCTCTTCCTCCCTCCCTCCTCTTTTCCTCCTCCTCCTCCTTCTTTCCTCTTTACCCCTCCCCTCCCCTCCCCTCTCCTCCCTTCTCCTCTTCTCTCCTCTCCTCTTCCTTTACATTGTCAAATTGGTTAGAAACAGTTTTTTACTCCTTATTTTCTTATTGGACTAAAAAAAAAGTGTTGTGTCACACAGTCATTTACTCTTTGGATTTCTTTCTTATTCCCTGTATTTCTCTTCATTTAGGAGTATTGCCTTCATTCCAGTAAAGACAAAGTCACACAGCCCCCACCACTGATCAGATCATTCCGACCTCGTGAAGATCGAATAAGCTGCTTAGAAATGTGTGAGCTGGGTGGCCGATCGCTAATCATTTCCTCCTCAGCAGATTGCATTTCTGTGGCTGACGTTTGCGGTTCTCCTATTTGGATCTTTGGTCAGGTAGAAATATGGCTTTCTTTTATTTGAATATTTACTCGACATTTCACATGAGCTTTGATTTCTTTCCATTTGAATGTTGTCAGCTGTGTGGTGTTCATTAGTCATCAAAGAACTGACTTCCTGTTCTACACTTGTAGCTCCAGGCACTTCACCGTCTTTGTACCATAAACTGCGCCTGTTCCATTAAGTGGAGGGCACCAGAGAGGTGGAAGAGATGGTCGCTCTGTGCGGCTCAAAACATTCCAGGATTTCTGAGACAAAGAAATGAATTCTTGCAGTTCCAAATTTTAGTAAAATTATGACAGTCAGATGGTCAACAGACACATAAAGAAATGCTCAAAATCACTGGCAATAAGAGAGATGCAAATCAAAACAACAAGGAGATACCATCTTACTCCAGTAGCAGGGACAAAGTTTAACAGGGCAGCAAGTAATAATAAATGTTGGAGAGGATGTGGCGAGATAAGAACTCTTACACATTGTTGATGAGATTGTAAAATGGTACAACCACTCTGGAAGGCAGTTTGGTGTTTCCTCAAAAAGATGAACATAGAAATTCCACATGACCCAGCTATCCTACTGGTTGGAAAATACCCTGAGAGAATGAGAACTGAGGCACCAACAGAAACATGTACACCAATGTTCACAGCAGCATTGTTCACCATAGCAAGAGCATGGAGACAGCCCAAGTGTCCACACACAATGAAAAGGATTGAGAAATTATGGTACCTTCACACAATGGAATACTATGCAGAAATCAGGAACAATGATTTTGTAAATTATTACCTAATCTGGGAGGGACTGGAGAGCATTATGCTAAGTGAACTGAGTCTTGTAAAGACAAATACTGTATAAAATCATAACTGCAGAATGAGTGCAGGATCCAAGGCAAGGAGAAGGTGTGAGGATGAGTGGGTAGTTGATTGCCATCAAGTCAAGCATGACTCACAGCTACCCTATAAACCAAAGCCTGAAGCCCCTCTACAACGATCGACATTAATCAAAGTCATAGAGTTTCCGGAGGCATGTTGTTTAGGAAGTGGATGCCTCTTAATCACTGAGTCGCACAATTTGATGGGTAGAGGGAAAGGTGGGTAAAGGAAAGAGGGAAAATACGGTGTGAAAAGCAATGTAAATGAACTTGCAAGCAAATCAGGGGAGAGAGAGAGAGAATGAGAATATGATCTTAGAACTATGGGGGGAAAAATTACAACAGAGATGAAATTACCATCTTGTTGCTAAATAAATATAAGACTAGTAAGTAATAATTGAGTTAACACACAAATACAGAAAACTTCATTTTTAAAAAACCAACCCAATCTTCCTGCTCATTGTCTGATCTACTTCTGCCAAAATAAAAACAGTAACATTTCCTGAGTTTTTCCTTGTTCCTAGAACCCTGCTCTGTAGTCCTTACATGGATTATTTAAGCTTCACAACTGTTACACGAGGAATTATTATCACCCTCACTTTATATGTGAGAAAGCGAAGGCAGAGAGAGTTTGAATATATTGAGCTTACAGAAGCAGCCTTTTAAAAGGAGTTCAATTAGTAAATATAAAGAGAGACAGCAAAAGTAGCAGAGTTTAATTTCTTAACCAAAGTTAGTGCACTTGAGAATGAATGTCTATAATCTCTATCATAAAGCCAAGCTCTAATTTATGCTTACTTAAAAAAAATGAAAACAGAAGGGGGCCATTAAATAAAATACCTACTGTTTCACATTTCTGTAATCCCCCCCCCTTTAATTTCCACGATAATATTGCTCTAGTCACCAGTAACTTATATCAAGAAAAAAACGACATCTGATCAGTTTCAATTCTGCGTTATGCAGATGACACAGCCCTGCTTGTTGGAACTGAAGAGGACTTGAAGCGCTTTTTTTAGAAGGTCTAGGGCTGCAGCTTTAAATATGGATTGAAGCTCAACATCAAGAAGACAAAGATTCTCAGCCCTGGACCGATTAGCAGCATCATGATAGATGGTGAAGAGATTGAGATTGTTAACAACTTTAGTTTGCTTGGCTCCACACCAACAGTCTTGGTATCAGCAGCCAGGAAATCAAGAGATGAATTGCATGAGAAAAGACAGTTGTCAGGGTCCACTCCATCCAGAGTACTGAAGAACAACACCATCAATCTGGAGCCTAAGAAGCACCTCATCCAGGCTAAAGTCTTCACAATTGCTTGCTATGTATCAGAGAGATGGACAATGACTAGAGATGATAGAGAATTGATGCCTTTGAGCTGTGGTGCTGGAGAAGAGTGTTGAATATACCATGAACTGCCAGGAGAACAAACAGGTTTTGTCCTAGAGAGGATGAAATCAGGCTGCTCCTTGGAGGCGAGGATTCTGAGGTTTTGTCTGACATCCTTTGGGCATATTGCAAGGAAACACCAGTCCATGGAGTGGGACATAAGAGAAAGAGAGAGAAAGACCAACAATGGAATGGATTGAGTCAGTGACTGGAGTAATGAGGGTAGGTGTGTCAGAGACAGTAAAGTTGGCACAGGATAGAGCAACTTGATGGCACATAACAACCAACAAAACAAGAACAGTTTCAATTAAAGCTGTCCTAAACATGGCAGTATGAAGTTAAGGCTGAAGCCACAGTTTCTATTTGGACAGTTAACTTGTGTCTCTTCCGTATGCTCAGGTACCACTCTCATCCTGTGAGAACACAATGCTTAGTGTTGGGAGACAAGGTCTGCTGTTGCTGCATTTAGTGTGAGGTTATTTTGATGATGTCAATTTGTGCTAAAAGAATTCTTTACAGCCCTTCAGGAAATAAAGGAGGGAAGTAAATAGAAACATAAGGCCTTGCTGGGGCATTGTACATCTCTCAACAAAACACTCAAACTTCGCCAGTCCCTTCAACTACGGAAATAAGTCAAGTGCTAGACTGTGTCAGAATTATAGCAGCCAAGTGGGGAATGAAATGTGTGGGTAGGTGGTGAGGGCTGGCATTCAGACCAGAAAAAGGTTTAAGGCTGCTTCTGGCACTGGAAGCAACTGATGTAATATTGATACTGCATGAAGGCCACAAGGACTCTGGTGGGATGAAGGGGGGTTTGAAAAACAAATAAAGAAACAGCATGTTATCAAGTGGGTGATGTCTGCAGAATACAAGTCCAAGACCTGATGCTGATGTAAGAAAGGAGAGCAAACTAGGTATAAATGTCAGCTCAACTGTGCCCACAAAATAGACCCTGAGACTAAATTTTCTTTAAATTGAAATGTTTTAGTAAAATTGTTTCTTTTCATGCTTTTGATAATTTTTTCCACTCGTTTTTCCTCTCCCTTTGAAGGATTTCAGTCCTAAGATATATCATAAAAATAGTTACTTATTTCCCCTGCCTTTTAAAAACAGGAAAAGTCTGAGCTACAGGAGTTTTAACAATTGAAGGTGGGCAAAGCTTGGGACAATCTGGTTTTATAGTACATTCTGTTAGAATTGGTGTTGTGTTCTTTTATTTTTTTATAAAATTAATTTTTGGCAAAGGAATAAAAGAGAAATAGGGAGAGAGGAAGAGTAGAAAGGAGAAAAGGGACAGAGAAGGAGCAAAAAGAATCAATTATCAGGCACCAGAAATGAGCAGCATTGAGTATCTTTCTCATTAGATGTAAGAAGAGACAGCCTTTTAGGAAGAGTTCAATTAGTAAATATAAATAGGGAAAGAAAAAGTTACACCTTAGGATCAATTTGTATCTTTGTAAATTTGTTTCTTGCCCTGTATTTAAGTGAAACATTTGACTTTGGGTCAAATGGATTATTAGTTTAGCGGTTATGGAAAAGAGAATCACAATAAAAAGTCTATAAAGGAAATGGGAAAATAATCAGTAATATATTTCATAAATTGATTTAATTTTCCAATTACATGCAATCTGATTAAGGCACTTGAGCATCAATGTGATTCCATTTTTTTTTTAAATGAAAGGAGTTCTTTTTTTAAAAAGAACAGTAAAATATGTTTATAGCGTAGCTATTGATCATAAGCTGGGTTTTCCAGTAGATTTTTAAAATTAGGTGGTAAAATAAGTCCATTTTCAACATTGGAGAAATAGGATTTGTTTGGTTTATCCAAAGATATGTTTTTATCTCAGAAAACTGTGAGATGGTTGTTGTTGTTGTTATGTGCTATTGAGTCCCCTGTGACTCATAGTGACCCTATGTATATTAGCCCTAAACCCTGCTCTATCCTGTGCCAATTTTACTGCCTCTGATGCACCTACCCTTATTTCCCCAGTCACTGAATCAATCCATCTCATCAAGGGTCTTCATTTCTATGTGCTGTCCCTCCACCCTCCCAAGCATGATGTCCCCCTCCAAGGACTGATCCAGCCTTGTAACATGTCCAGAGTATGTTGGATGAAGCTTCAGAATCCTTTCTTCCAAGAAGCAGCCTGGCTTCGCCCTCTGCAGTACGAACCTATTCATTCTCCTAGCAGTCCATGGTATATTCAGTACTCTTTTCCAGCACCACAACTCAGAGGCATCAATTCTCAATTCTCCTTCTATCCTCCCTAGTCATCGTCCTGCTCTCTGATGCTTAGCAAGTGATTGCAAAGACCAGGGCCTGTGTCAGGCATAGTGAGATAACAAGAAGTTAGAAGAAGGTTGTGTACTCTGGTCCCTCTTAAGCAGTAACCTATGTTATGTTATTATGTTGTTATGTTTTATGTTTGTTATGTTGTGATGTTTTATGTTATATTATGTTGTTATACTGTTATATTATGTTGTTATGTTTTATGTTATGTTGTTATGTTATGTTATGTTATGTTATGTTATGTTATGTTATGTTATGTTATGTTTTGTTATGCTATGTTATGAACGGCTTGTGTTTTAGTGCCACCACTCATTCTCCTCAATTTGGAATGTTGACTAAAGTATTTGTGACTAATGACTATTCACCAGTAAAATCTGATATTGTTTTCTGCATTTGATCATCAGCAAATTGTATAAAGAGATCCAGACTTTGAATTTCTCTGAAAAGAAGTAACATATGCCATTTCCTGACAGAAGCCATGGCTCCTTTTACAACAGGGAGTTTCTTTCCGATTCTCTACAGTTAACGACCTTTCCTTTTTGCCTCTCTATCCTCACATCTAATTTTAGTTTCTATTTATCATCTTCTATGAAGCTCATTTCACTTACATAAATCCTCTCTCTGGCCTTACAGGCATTTACTGTGAAAATTTTGAGGACAAGACTGATTGGTTTGGAGACCAGTTAAATATCCCTGAGATGCTTAGTGTTCAAATTACACTGGCTGTGTTCTCAGACTCTGGTGGGGCAATGGTTAAGCACTTCATCTGCTAACTGAAAAATTGGCTATTTAAATCTCCCAGTCACTACTTGGCAACAAACAAACAAAACAACAACAACGAAAAACCAAGTTTCTGAAAAGATTTCAACCTGAAAAATCTGTCTGGGGCAGTTCTGCTGTGCCTTGTGAGTAGTTCTATTACATCATTATAAATTGGAAATTGACTGCACAGCACACAACAGAGAAAACAAAATATTCTCAGTGCTTTTCTGTCTGACCTAGTGGGAATGAAAATAAGACCGGTGGCTTAGTGGTAGAAGAGTTGCACTGCCAACCTAAAGGCCTGTGGTTTGAATCCGCCAGCTGCTCCTTGGGGGAGAGATGGGCCATCTCCTCCTGTGTGCTTTACCACCTCTGCAAACCCACTGAATCGGTTCTGACACATGTCACACAACAGCAACAACAACATGATTAAAATAGGAGTTAAACTATTTACGATGATTTCTTTTGGTTCAAAATTTATCTGAAACTGATCGCCTAAAGTCAGAACCAACTCATAGCTGACCCTCTAGGGAGATTTGAGAGGCTGTTAATTGCATTTGAGGACATTTTTCTCCAACAGAACAAGAGGTGGAGTCAAACCACCTGCCTCTGGATTGGCCGAGGAAACTTCTTACCCACCAGACTAGCAGAGTTTTCTCTAGATGGATGCATATTAAGAACCAAAGCCAAGATGCGTGAATAGGAGGATGTAACAAATAACTCAGGAATATATGTGTAATATCTGAGTTGCTCTTTGAAAATTAATGCTTCTTTTTAACTTCAATGTGAGATGCAAAGAAAGTTATTGCAGGAAAAATTAACAAAGCCAGTTTTTCTTGGTATTTGTTTACTTTTTAAAAAATTTTCTCCCATTCATTCATTGTTGCATCTTTTCCTCCCTCCCCACCCCTCCCCCTCAGTTTGCATTTCTCTTTGAAAAGAAAAAAAAATAATCTTTCACTGTTATACAATCCCTCCACCTCCCTACCCCACTCCCAGTCCACAGTCCACTTTACTATGCATTTCTTTTTCTGGAATCATGTTATGAAAATAAACCTAATCATATGTTACTTTTAAATAGTTCTCTCTCATCTGTTTCAATACAGTATTCATTATGCATCCCCTCTATTTTTAGGTTCCACCCAAGCCCGACATCAGTCCTGTTTTACAACAGTGGCCCTATGCAGTATTTGTCCTTTTGTGACAAATATTTCACTCAGCATTATGTCCTCCAGGGTCACCCATTTAGTATAATACTGCATGAGTTCCTTGTTTTTCAATGCAGCATAGTACTCCACTGTGTAGATATACCAGAGCTTCTCTATCCAATTGTTTGTTGATGGGCACTTGGGTGGTTTCCAGCTCTTTGCTATTGTGAAAAAAGCAGCAATACACATGGGTGTACATATATCTGTTTGAGTTGCAGTTCTGGTTTCTTTAGGGTCCATTTTTCTTTTTAACAGGTTCATTTCTTTTTTATTAAATAGAAATTCTGCTATTTAGGATTTTAAGGTGAAATGGTAAAGTACTATTAGTAGTACAAAATTATCTCTTCATAGAATCTTCAGTTTTTCTTGTGACTCATACCACCTTTTAGACTTTATGACAGATCTATGGGCCTCATATCCCTGAAAGGTGAAACTCTTCGAGGACAGAAATCGCATCTTATTCATTTTTGTGCCCTCTGATGTCATTTAATAGACTAGTAGTTTATACAAAGCAAGCATTCAGTACGTATTTTTTTTAAAAAATAAAATAGATCGCTTTGATTTTTTTTCTCTTTTTTCCCCCCCAGGTGGAGCACTGGCAAATAGAAAATTCTATTTCCTTTCCAAAAAGAAATTTTAATATGATGGAAAGTGGAGCTCAAGAAGAAATCCCAAGGACAATTCCTTTACTTTCTAAGGAAGAATCCTGTTTAGACCATAGAGAACATTTTGTGTTTGATAAGACAAACACAGAAGATTCAACGCATGAGTAAGAATGTTTAAATGCTACTCAGACACCATCTAGGGTCTTCATAGTCTATAAAATAAGAGCAGATTGTACCACATTCTCCTCTGTGCTTTCTGGAATATCTCGATCATATCTAGCTATTGAAAAAAAATATTTGGTATAAGTGGGGTCGGGAGGTACATTGTAAGCACCTTGTTGTTGTTGTTGTTGTTGTGTACCATTGAGTCAGAACTGACCCACGGATAACCCTCCAGGAGGTCTTCAGAGGCAGTTATGCTCTTGAGAGGAGATTGCCCCTCCTTCTCCCACGGAGCATCTGGTGGATTCCAACCACGTGCCTTCCGGATTGCAGCACAGCTTCTTGCCACTAGGCCACTTGGTTCTTACTTCTTGTCTCCACTGAATTTTTGTTTTCTCCTCAATGGCATAATCTTTCAATTACAGAAATTAGCCCTTCTCTCTCTGCAAATGTCTGAATGTTAGCTTTTACTCTGGTTTTTATTAAAATGGATCGGGATTTATATATCACAAAATGTCAAGAAAACTTGACTTTGTGTGTTGAGTATAAATATCCTCCCTCTGCTCCATTTCGTTCTTATTGTTTTTACTATGTAAGGGAGCAGTGGTGGCAAGAAGCTGAGCTGCAATCCCCGAGGCTAGCAGTTCAAGTTCACCAGCAGCTCCATGGGAGAAGGATGAGAGTCTCCTTCCATGTGATTAAGTGGCCCTGAAAACCCGCCACAGGGTCAGCTATGGGTCAGTTCTGACTCAGTGGTACGCAACAACACAATAACAACGCTAGGCAGGGAGCTCTGGTGGCATAGTCCATAAGCAGCTCTGCAGCTGACTCAAGGGCAGTGCCTTGTGGAGGCTTGAGTCTATCTATCAGTGGTTCCATGGGACAGTGATGGGCCGTCTCCTGTGTTACTGAAGTGTCCTTGAAAATACATTGTAGTGTCAGCTCTAAGTTGGTTCCCACTGAACAATAATAGTTGTGGGGTGTGTTTTTTTCAAATGTTAGACCACTTAATGATTTCTTTTGTTTCCTTTACTGTTTGCTAACCTATGCTTTTGTAATCTACGTTCTTCCTAAATACATTTTAAACATGTTTTAAAAGACTACAACTAAGATAGGGAGCTCTTGTGGTTTAAGTGGTAAGCAGTTGCATAGCCAACCCAAAGGCTCACTGTTCAAATCCACCAGCTGCTCGGAAGGAGAGAGACGGGTAGCCTCCTCCTGTACCATTTACTGGCTCTGGAAATGTGCTGGAGGGTCAGCTATGGATTGATTCTGACTCCATGGAACATAACAACGACAACTGTGAATATTCATATGCCATTGTAATACGAAACTCTTGTAGACATGTTAACCCAAAGGTTGTACATCTCTCCTTCAATCTACTAGTGGGCTGTTGTTGTTATGTGTTGTCAAGCCACCTGTGACTCATAGTAACGCTATGTAAAACAGGCTTAAACCTTGCTCCATCCTGTGCCAATCTTGTTGTCTCTGACACGCCTACTCCCATTACCCCAGTCACTGAGTCAACCCATCTCATCGAGGGTCTTCCTCTCTGCGCTGTCCCTCCACCCTCCCAAGCATGATGTCCCTCTCCAAGGACTGGTTCCTCCTTACAACACGTCCAAAGTATGTCAGAGGAAACTGCCGAATCCTTGCCTCCAAGGAGTAGCCTGGTTTCACCTTCTCCAGGACAAACCTGTTCATTCTCTAAGCAGTCCATGGTGTATTCAGTACTCTTCTCCAGCACACAGGTGAAAGATGGGCAGTAACTGCTCTTTCAATTTGCAGCCTTTCAAAGCCCACTGGAAGGTAGACTGTGAATCGACTCTCATGCCACAGTAATGAGTTCTTATTGATTTAAAAGACAGTAAACATATCTTCCTATTTTTGACTTCCTGTTGATTCCAACTAATGAAAGAAATAAGATTGACTCAGAAAAGGAAAATATTTCTATAAAATTCTCACTATACTTAAATTCAAGGCTACTGGTGAAATAATAGGTTAAGTGTTGGGCTGTTAAGTGAAAGACAATTTGGATTCACTAGCCTCTTTGTAGGAGAACTAAGAATCAATCTCCTGTTAAGATATACAGCTTTGGAAGCTTGATAGAGGGCCTCCATGAGCCAGGATAAACTTGATAGCAGTGGGCTTGTTTTTGGTTAATGTTCTTTATTAAAAAGAAGGAATTCCATAGACAACAAACCAACCCATTGATAGGGAATAGAGTCCCATTCTTTGTACCCCAAAGGGCTAGAGTAGAATTTCCCTGTAGGGTTTTTAAGGTTGTAGATTTTTATGGAAGTAAACGACCTCAAATTTCCTTAAAGTGCCTAGCGATTTGAAGCATGGCCCTATTCTTCAGTAGTTGAATGCTTTCCCACAGAGCTGCCAGAGAGCTAACCTTATTGGCTTGCCCTCAGGGAACTTTCAAACCTAGCCAATGAGACTGACGTCCCTTGCCTTTGGGTAAAAGTTTAATCCTTCCAAATTTCTAGAAACTCTTAGATGACTACGTCTATGCAAAGTTCAAAGGAGAGTTGGTATGTTAAAAACCACAAACAAACAACCCCAAACTTTTCTCTAATTCAGCATTTCTCCTTCTCTCCATCCCTTCATCTCCTTAATCACTGTTTTCAGTTCATGAGGATAGAGGGAGGGAGGAGTGACATTGAACCTCTCACTCTTATTTTGAAAGGACAGTTGAGGGTTCCCTACAGGGATTCCACATTGTATATTTTGATCAATGTACTTTTTGGCTAATTGTCTATGGTCCAGGCCTACCACAGGGGTAAAACATACCATAGTGTCTCTATACTACAGTCTTAGCATACTGGCAAGAAGCTCTTGGACAACTCCTGGGCTATCTTGCCATATCAATTGCTCTACTGTGGCCATCTCTCTCCCTGCCCAGTTGGGTAATTTAGCCTCAGTTTTTTAACTATGGAATTCAGCAAGTATAGTGACAAATTGCATTGGGAAAGTTGGCTGTGAGGGGCCTCCCAAGAGTACTGAAGAGCAACGATGTCAGACTGGAGACAAAGGTGCACCTGATCTGGGCTATAGTCTTTGCAATTACGTGCTATGCATCAGAGAGTTGAACAACGAATAGGGATGATAGAAAGAGAATTGATGCCTTTGACTGTGATGCTGGAGAAGAGTGTTGAATATACCATGGACTGCTAGAAGAGCAAACAGGTTTGTCCTGGAGAAGATGAAGCCGGAATGCTCCTTGGAGTCAAAGATTCTGAAGCTTTGTCTGACATACTTTGGGCATGTTGCAAGGAGGGACTAGTCCTTGGACAGGGATATCATGATTGGCAGAGTGGAGGGGCAGTGAAGGAGAGGAAGACCTTCAATGAGATGGATCGATTCTGTGACTGGAGTGGTGGGAATAAGTGCATTTGGGATGGCTAGGTTGGCTCAGGATAGAACAGCAATTTAGAGCTCTTGTACATAGGGTTGGTATGAGTCGCAAACGACTCGATGGCACATAACAACAACAACAACAACAACAACAATGAGATATTGGCCCTTAGTGTCTTTCAACAAGTTTTTTAATTGGTTTATGTGCATTTACAAGTTCCATAATGGTCTCTGGTATCTATGCCTTTAGTTTATACTCTAAAAGGACCAAAAGTGAAGGACCAGTAGAGCCACTGTCTTGACCAAGTGGGCGTGCACAGGAAGCCTCACATCTCACTTTGGAATTTAGAAATATATTTCACGTTTAAATGAATTCATTTGTTTTGAACTTCTTGGATTTATAACACAGAGACAGTATATTTATCCCTTTTAAACATCTTGTTATATTCATTAGACTGATACTTGATATTACATATAGGTTCTTTTCTATTCTTGACTTGCTGAAATGTCAAGTGGCAATTTACTTTCCGTTACAAGAATCTTTTCAATTAAATGAATATGATTAATCATATACAATCAAAGAATGTTGGGAATGGAAAGACTTGCATGTGATAAAATACTTCATCCAACCCAAACTACCATTACATACACCTAGCTGCTTTTTTTGGATGAAGTAATAATCAATTTCTCTAGAGAAACACAAGTATAATATGACTGCTTTTATCACTACATCTTTAGAAAATACATATTTCTATTTATTAATATTTTAGAAAACATCTTAATTTCTAATTATTTATTATAAGCTAGGTTTTTCTTCTTTCTTTGTGTATGTTTGATTAGCTATTTATTGAACTTACTGTTGTGGTCAGATAGTTAACCGTAACTCATGGCTACCTCTTGCAAAACAGAACTGAAATACTGACTAGTCCTGTAATCATCTTCACAACCATTGCTATGTTTGAGACTGTTATTGTACCCACTGTGTCTGTCCACTAAACTTCTACTTTTTGTAGCATGAGAGCTAAAATGTGATCAATTTAAACTCGTTCTTACTTTTCTCCAAATCTCTCTCTTTATTTTTCTATTTTTTTATATACTTTGCTTGTATTCTCAAAATTGTTGATATATGGAGGCCTTAAATTCAGATAATTCTCTTACAAAAACATTTTTTAACCAACAAAACATTACATGATAAAAGTAGCTTCTATGTTTTAAATTCTGTTTTTATCTAAGTGAAATACCTGGATTAAAATAATTTAAAATGACATAAGAATTAGATGGTACATAAAATTGTAAGTTAATAATTATTGAAAGAAAACGGTTAAAAATGTATTCTAAGTATCAGCTTGTCTGATACGTCTGTCACATGTAACAGGCATCCTCAATGGAATTGACTGACATAGTGACTTGAAGTACTGCCCAGTCCTGTGCTATCCTCAAAACCTCTGCTGTTATGGTTGTTGTAACTGTTGAAGTTACTGCGTCAGTCCATTTCATTGAAGGTCTTCGTTTTTCTCAATGACCCTCAGCTTTATCAAGCACGATATATTTCTCCAGTGATTGGCCCATCCAGATAACATGCCCACAATATTTATGAATTCTCACCATCCTGGCTTCTGAAGAACGCTGTGGCTGCATG